AATTGGATACCATGAAGCAAAGGAATTTTCTGGATCCAACCCCAAATGCGCATTTTTCCAGGTTTAGCTTCATATTGTATTTCTTCAATATGTCGAAGGTTTCCTACAAATATTTCAAATGGTCATGTGCTCGCAGGGACTTGACTAACGTGTCATCAATATAAACTTTCATTGATTTTTCTATCTGTTCTTCGAACATCCGGTTTACTAGGTGTTGATAGGTGACACCGACGTTCTTTAATCCGAATGGCATTACGTTATAACAATAAGTGTCGAACTTAGTGATAAAGGAATTTTTTTTCTTGATCTCCCGGGTCCATCCGAATTTGGTTGTACCCGGAATAGGCATCGAGAAAATTGAGTATCTCGTGCCTGACCATCGCGTCGATCATCCGATCGATGTTAGGTAAAGGAAAAGAATCCTTAGGGCATGCCTTGTTTAGTTCTTTATAATTTATGCACATTCTTAGCTTATTTCCTTTCTTACGTACTACCACTATGTTGGTTAACTAGTCCGGGTACTTAACTTCCCGAATGGATCCTATTTTCAGGAGTTTAGATACCTCGTCCTTGATGAAAGCATGCTTGACTTCGGATTGCGGTCTCCTTTTCTGTTTAACCGGATGAAACTTTGAGTCCAAACTCAACTTATGAATGGTTACCTCTGGCGGGATCCCTGTCACGTCAAGATGGGACCAAGCAAAATAATCTATGTTAGCTATAAGAAATTTAATGAGTTTTTTCCTGAGCTCGGGAGTTAATCTCGTGCCCGGGTATACTTTCCGGTGGGGCAGGTGTTCGATCAATATGACTTCCTCCAACTCCTCGATCGCGATTTGGTGGCATCGAAATCATCAGGAATAATGAACGACCTAGGAACTCCATAATCATCCTCCTCGCCTACTCCTCGGTCTTCTGGTTCAGTCAGGGCCAATATCGGTGATTGCTATTTAATTTCTTCCTTCCTGGTCAGCTCTGTGTTCTTTGATGTCGAGATCACGGGCACTGGGATCACCTCGTCGATCGCAAACATTTCTTTTACGGTCGGCTGCTCTCCGTAGGCCGTCTTAATTCCTCCCTGCGTAGGGAACTTTATTGTTTGGTGCAGTGTTGAGGGTACTACCATCATGTTGTGAATCAATGGCCTTCCGAATAAGGCGTTATACCTCATGTCTCTTTCGATCACGTAGAATTTCTTATCTTTAATTATCCCGGCGATATTCACTAGCAATGTTATTTCTCCCTTAGTAGTTTCGCATGCCATATTAAATCCGTTCAACACCCGGACTTCCGGTACTATTTGATCTTGTAACCCCAGTTGCTCGACGACCCTTGATCTGATAATGTTGGCCGTGCTGCCCGGATCAATTAATAAAGGTTTAACCCGAGATTTGTTGATAAGTGCGGATATCACCAGTGTATCATTATGAGGATGTACGATGTCTTCGGCATCCTCGTCATTGAACGAAATGGTTCCCTCCGGTATGTAATCTTGGGTGAGTTTTTTCCTTGTGATGGATACTTTAGTATGCTTTATCATCAGTCCCTGAGGGACATCGACCCCTCCAATGATCATATTGATGATGTGCTGAGGTTCTTCTTATTCGGTCTGTTTGTTGGAGTCCTTGTTCCTGGAGTGATTTTTGGCTCGATCACTTAGAAATTCTCGAAGATGCCTGTTATTGAACAGTCGGGTGACCTCTTCTCTCAACTGTCGGTAGTCCTCGGTGCTGTGGCCATGAATGCCATGATATTTACACATCAGGTTAGGATCCCTCTGGGTAGAGTCGGACTGCAATGGTCGAGGCCACTTGATTTCCTTGATGTGATACGATGCAGGCAGCATCAATGTTGAAGTTATACTCTGATAATCTTGGCGCTTCCCTTCCCCCGAGCGGCCTGTCGAAACCATTTTTGTTCATCAGACCTCGGCTATTGGGCCCCCGATCGCCTCTCTTTTCATTCCTTGTAGAGTTGCGCCCGGACCCGTTTCCTCTTTGATCTGCATTGTATGGTTGGTACCGATCTCGGATCGGCCTTAATTCATGGTCAATGACTCTCTTAGGCCTGTCGTCGGTTCTAATGGGATAAACGAACCCTGAAAGGGCTCCGAGTTGGTCGTCCTCGACTTTGATTTTTGACTAGTACCTGTTGTTGATGTTAGCCCAAGTTATCGCCGGGTACTCTACCAGGTTCTGTTTCAGCTACTGCGAAGCCAGGGAGCTTTGGGGGTTAAGTCCCTGAGTGAATGCCTGAACGGCCCAATCATCCGCGACCGGGGGTAAATCCATCTGTTCCATTTGAAACCTTGACACGAATTTCCTGAGCATCTCGTTGTCCCTTTTCTTAACCTTGAAAAGATCTGATTTTTGGTCTCGACCTTGATGGCCCCGGCATGAGCCTTTACAAAGGCATCCGCGAGCATAGTGGATATCGCGGCCCTCTGTTAGTCATGTGCAACTGTTTGTAATGCTTTCCGAGGTCTTGGAACTCGTTCCGGGCTCGGGGGGTGTTGATGTGTCAGGCCCGGTGGCGAGCACCCCGTTCCGGCCTCGAACCAATGAGTTACATCTCATACATTCGTACTTCGTCTGACTCACCGAGAATCTCGGGGTGTGTGCTGACCCCGAGTTCACCCATATACAAAATATATATGTACGTGTATACATAAAATATCGCCAGTATACTTACAAGTTCATCGTCATGAGGGGGCTGACGACGGGAAACCCGTAACCCATTGTATTGCAATGGCTTCTTTAATTTCCCTTCATTACAGTTATGTTATTTTAGCTCTTTAGATATTAAGAGTTTGAAGGCCCATTTTCATTGTTGGGTATCAGTAAAAATAAAGTATTTCCATCGGTTCATGTTAAGGACTTGATATAAACTTTGATATTATAGAGAACACTTTTAAATTTTGGAGTACTAACCTAAAGGTGTATATATAATAAGCAACAGATACACTCAGTGGCGGAGCCACGTGTAACCAGGGGCGGCCCAATGATATTTGGGGCCTAAAGCCATACTTCAATGAAAGGGCCTTAAATTTTCGGTATTACAAAAAATAATTTTTTTTTGGTGTTTTAAATATGCGAATTCATATTTTCTTGTTGATATATATATTAAAATTCTAATAAATAAACAAAAAGACAATATATAATTAAGAACAAAAGATGTAACGTGGGGAAAGCTTGAAAAAAAGAGTGTTGGCAATTGCTTTCTGCTATCTTATTTGAGAGAATGATTTACTAGATAAAGAACTTGTGAGTGTAGAGAGGCCAAAAGGAATATAAAAGATTGAAGTAAAATATGGTTTGAAAAGAGAGTAATAAAGTGGTAAAATTAATATAGGTCATGTGATAACGATGATGGTGTGTAAATGAGGCAAGAATACACACGTAAAATTTATGCTGGAACTTTCCGTATTGCAGCAAAATAGTGGCTATTTTTCAATGACTTTACAAACGTTGGCTATTTTTTAATTATCAGTACGAAAACTAGCTAGCCCGTGCTATTTTCACCCCAATATCTCTAGCGGTCCCAAATTATTTTTTTCATGAAAAAATATGCTTTTTTTATAAACTAAATATTTTTAAAAAAGAATTATCACATACAACTATTTAATATTAGAAATTTTGGGGCCCCCAGAGATGTGGGGCCTCAAGCAATTGCTTGACTTGCTTTATCATTAGGCCCCCTGCATGTGGCACCCATTCGTCGGAAAATTATATTGTGTAGCTAGGTAATTTAAAAAAAATATATGTATATATACTATGTATTGATCCCCCTTGACTCTGCCACTGGATACACTTAATAATTTTGTGGTCTTAGGGGGTGTCATTAAGGATAAATCAGATATATTGGAACTAAAGAAGTACTAGATATTTAAGAAAAAGATATCATTTTATTAAACCGACTAAGAAAGAAAGTAAGACATATAAGTTGAAGTGAATAAAATATTAGTTATATGAAAATTATATAAGTTATACTGTATTTTATTTTTAGGATCAAATACTGCATAAGTAATGCAAATTGTGATACGAACATGAATTTTGTTATGTGGACGAAGATTAAAATTTTATACTTGAAGCAAAATGACCCCAAATAGAAAAGAGTAGCGGAAACAAAGGAATTTTAGGTTTCAGAAGGCAATCAATGTGTTGATATATTGTTTTTAGATACGATCATATGCGTATCTTTGTCCCCTGTCGTAATTTTATTTGTATGAAAAAATACATTTTAAGTTTATTCGATATAACCATACAAACATCATATATGTATAGCTAAAACTGAATATTTTGCTTCATACTCATCTTTATCTTTATAAAAAAGCCTACAGCTTAGAAATGACACGTGGTTGCAGGGGCTTGGAGTTGGCAACATGACCACTTGTCACCCCCCCTGTCCCACCATGTGCATTCACATTTATATTTTATTGAAAAACATATGGCCCCGTCTTTATTACTGATCCATGATCCAAAGCTTTGACCCTTTGAAATAGAACTATTGTTTTTTATGATTAAAAAACAACTGTTCCATCCGTTTCAATTTAGATAAGCTAGTTTTATTCGGATACGAAACTTTTAAAGTTTTATAAGGTCATGACATTTATATGGTTATAAAAGCTTCTCATTAAGGGTAAAATAGGTAAAATGAAGAGTTTAAAGTTGAATTATTTTCAAATTTAGAAATGTGTCATTTATTTTGGAACAGACTAAAAAAGAAAGCACCTCATCTAATTTGAAATAAAAAGAGTATGTTTTTGATATCCATATATGATATCCACTGATTCGACTAATTCAAATTAATTTGCATTGTGCTAAATCCATTAAAAAGGAAAATACTTCTATGTACTAGAATTTTTTTTATTTCCAAATTTAAACTCAAAAAAGAATAAGTATGGTCTTTAAGTAGGCATGGTGAGAAAGTCCCCTGTGGCATGGGTTAGTGCCCTTGTTTTAAAATCTTTCCGTGAGTGCCTATAAATAGCAGTGACCATTTCACATGTCTCACAAACAGGGCCAGTACCACACTGAATACTTCACGTGCTCTCTTTCTGATTAACTTCTTTCCCTCAAAACTCGGTCCTCATATTTCTGCAAATTAAAATCTCAACAATACCTTATCCATTTCTGTTTTTTTGGAAACTGTGTCAGTTGATTTACTCACTCCACCAACTACTGCTACTCCAACAATCATCAAATCTGCAGTAGTTTTATTATAAGACTAAGGTAGTTTTGTTCGTTGGTCGACACAACTAACTTGACAAATTAAGAAAGTAGAGATCGATCATTTGTTTGTTTGGACTTTGGTATATATAATGGAGAAGGCAAATAAGCAAGTGGGAGGTGGTTCTTCTTCTTCATCCTTTACTAACGACCTTTTTGGTCCTAAGGAAACTCCTAAATCCTCCTCCTCTTCCTCTGCACTCTTTAACTCTGTCTTTGGCCCACCTTCCACGGTATATATATAGATATAGATATATATATACACATCATGCATTTCCTTTTCTTTCTTTTAGTTTCTGGTTCTGTGTTATTTCTTGTTTGTAAAATTAAGGCTTGAAGATGGATTCTGTACTAGTATAGGCTAGCTTTATATATTTACATTTGAGAAAACACATGTATATAAAGCGTTCTAAAATTCATCCGTCAGTAGAATTTGCTTGTAGGATTAAACATGTTTCACTTGCATGCAAAATATAGGCATAGCAAATTGAGCTCTCTAACTTGTAGCATTGAAAATGACAAAATATAAGTCTTGCTTTTAGAATGAATATATACTAACTTGTTGATTCATTCTTTCTTTTCTAGGGACTTAGAAGGGATTCCGTTCACACTGGAGTAGGAGGTTCATCAACCATGAAAAATTCAGGGAATTACCAGTATGAAAATGCAAAATATGGAACTTCAGGTATTTATAATTATACATATTGATTTCTGTGCTCAACTGGAAATGTTTTATTGACCATTTTAGAGGGGTTTTTTTATATAAAACAAAAACAGATAATGGGTCTCAAAGAAGTAGAGGAGACATAAGTAGCAAGGACAAAAGTTGTATGTATGAGAATGAAAAAACAGAACCATGCTATTTCAGTTCATCCATCTATTATGGTGGCCAAGATGTTTATTCTCCAACTAGCCAACCTGGTTCCCAGCATATTGTAAGCCTAATTACCATATACGTATTCTTTTTTCTTTTTAATAAATGATTCTTGCTTTTTTTAACTTGGTTCCTTTATACTTGCTTGGTCAGTTCAAGAAAGATGGGAAAGATGATGATCAAAATGGAAACAATTCAAACTGTGCTTCACGAGGAAATTGGTGGCAGGGTATGGCTATTGTTTGCAAACGAATATACCTTTGAAAATTTTCTTTGTAGTGAGATTAATTCAAAACTTTTCTGCAGGATCACTTTATTACTGAGATCTTACCTCATGCATATCTGATCTCTTCCTTACCATATATAGGTATTTGAAAGAGATAAATTTCCATATGTTTTTATGTTGAGGGATTAAAGGACTTAACAAAAGTATAATAAAAGTTGAAAATGCTGCAGGGATGGAAGTCGAGAGATCAGAACACACTATATCTTCAGTTAGCAAGGAGCGGAACATCTTATAATGTCCCCTTAGTTTCTTAAATTTATATTTTCTCCCTTTTATTTTTCTTTTTTTGGTTTTTTTCTTGTAGCACTTTTCCTCTTTTGTTCTTGTTATGGTATTGGATTACCTAAACCAGCTTGTATAATCCAACTATGTTTAACACTAAATAATGGCTAGCTTCTCTCTCTGTCTCTCTCTCTTTTGAGGTGGGCTCCCTAACTAACATCAGTGGAAGAACACATATTATCTGTCTACTACAAGTTGCACACATATTCTGTCAACATCCAAATGGAAACTTTTGTCTCAGGCTTGAAGTTTCTTATATAAATGTGTGTCATTCAATCTTTAGTTTGTACAATTGAATTGACCGATTTGTTACCAATCCACATCAACTCTAATTTTATTGCTAATGCTGGCATCCCATATGCTTCTATTATTGTCGAATTCATATTGCTGGTGAAATAGCAACCAGCACAAGACAAAACTTTTGGCTTAATCTCATCCAAAAACTTAAAATCTTAGAGAGAACACACTTTTAATCAATTGATTATATTATTTCTAACACAATTAAGTAACTAAAAGTTTATTCTCTCCGAGTCAACTTGAAGGAGAGTATGAGTGCAGAAAATGGAAGAAGAATGCGTAGAAAAAGGATTTTTGACAACCTAACATTAGGTTTTGTTCAGCTTTCCTTGAGAAATAACAATTGATATGTTTTAGAGTTCTTTATATATTATATTCAATAACATAACCAGGATTTAGGCCCCTGTATATCAAAGTGATAGAGCAAGAAAGAAAGGATCATACATAGATGTGCTCAATGATTTTAATTTTTTGCCTAAGCATTAGTTGCCCAACTTCTATATAGATATTTGAAAAAGCTTAGGAATGCTAAGTGAAGATCTGGAAGAAAAAAAAAAAAGCAAAAATGCAGTTGCTAGTTGCTAACAAAAAGGGATATGCACATCATCTTCATTGAAAAAGACAGAATGCTAGATACTTGTTATTTTATTAGTAAGAAGTTGTACATGGCATCTGATTTTAAGTAAAACCAGGAAAATTGGAACACAATAGTGCTACCATAATAAGATCATTACATTTACATCCAGTGAACACATCCAAATCTTCAGCCTTCAAGGCAACGTGTAAGCTGCAAAAAAAAAAACCAAACAACCGATTATAGTAATAAGTAATTAACTATATCAGAAACAGGTCACTTCACTCCCTCGTCCCTAAGGCGGATTAGTGGTTTATTTTCAAAAAGGATTATTCATCGTAACCTAATTTAAAAATGATGCTGAGAGAATTAAGAAAGAATAATAGTGAATGACAACTTACGTCCACATTTGTAGCCCACGGGACGATTGGCAAGGTTGCAGCGTTTAGGGATTGTTACGGCAACTTCAGGTTTGGCTCCAGAATCCTTAGCAGTATTGGATAACATAACAGCACAGAGACATTTCGGATTCTGTCCCAGTTTCTGTATCTGCTGGCAGCAGCTTCTGGAAACAGAAACATTTGGATCAGATGCTGCTTCTGCACAAGGTATCAGCTTCATAGCTTCCATATCTGGAGAATTTCTCCCGCATTCACCACCAGCTCCATTAGCTGTATTGAAACTAGCAATCCCCAAAACCACAACAAATCCAACAACACACAAGTACTTCATTAGAGCTGTCATTTCTTCACTCTCAATACACAATTAAGTTCTTGCCGCTCCAGGGACTTTATACTGGACATTTAGCTTGGCTGGTGTTGACACGTGAAATCCACTGAATACCATAGTGGACAAAGCACTAAAGAATACAGAATTTTTAATAAAGCAATTGCTTCAACAAAAGTTAGGTTAGAGGTTTATATTCCTATTTTAAGCTAATCAAGAGTGGCGCATGCAATGCTAGCAAAGTTATTAGTAGAGTTTCAGCACTTTGAAAAGCCATGGAGATGTTCACCTTGGCAAATGATCAATAATCGGACACCTATAACTCCATTTTCATCTCACCAACCAACTAAAATGAGAAGTGGTTAGCAACTCAATTATTGAAGGTCATACACATAACCAAATGCAAGCTTACTCCCAGAGCATACGAAAATAAGGTGAAGGGCGAAGAATCATCAGTGCAAAGGGAATTGCAGTTATATTAAACACATTCGCAGTTGGTCTTCAGTAGGCAGACTGTAATGGCCCAAAACCAACCCGTCGTGATGGCACCTATCGTGATACTAGGCAAGCCAACTATTCAGACATTTCCAACACTTAAATCTTTGAAAGATACTAAAACAGTCTAAATAAAGGAAAATCTCTTAAAACATGATAGAAAATCATAACTCAATACATAAATTCTTCACAAAATTGGGTGTCACTGAGTGCATGAGTATCTACGAAATGTCAAAGTCTGGTACACTGTCTAGAAAGTATAACTGAATAAACAAACTGAAAGATAAGGGATGAGAGTCAAGGTCTGCGAACGCCAAGCAGCTACCTCGATGATCTCCGAAGGTCTGGACTCTACAAATCAGCAATCGCCGTGACCGGAAGCACTTGGATCGGCACACGAGGTGCAGGGTGTAGCGTAAGTACAACCAACTCAATAAGTAACAAATGTAACATGTGGTCTGAAGACAGAGACGAGCTCAAACAATACAACAAAGATACATAGTTTAACAATACAGAAAAGTAGGCATGCTTCTAGGTTCGACAATTAAGCTTAGCACAGATGAAATATGCCAAGTGTGACTCATAAGAAGAGTATAACATCTCTGTAGCTACATGTAAATGTGAGAACCGTATGTGATGCAACACAGTGAAATCCCAAGTACTCACGCTCTCAGAGCACTGAATCTTCCCGTCTCAGTTCTCGCTCATCATGCTCAGTCACTCAGCACTATACGATACCTGTTGCGGCGTACAGCCCGATCCACATATAGTCATAAGGCCCGTTGCGGCGCGCAACCCGATCCATATATATATATAGCCATAAGGCTTGTTGCGGCGTGCAACCCGATCCACATATATATAGCCATAAGGCTTGTTGCAGCGTGCAACCCGATCCACATATATATAGATATCACTCACAGCACGGCACTAAAGCCCCAACTCAGTCACCAATCTCTCGGGCTCACAACACTCATGTTAAGCAGCCCTAATCAATGATACGATATGTGACAATATACGATAACAGATACTGAGATATGACACGCAATGATGAATTTGACTGAGTACACGACTGCAATTAAACAGATAACTCAGCAGCAAAGAACGACCACTGTGGATCCCAATAGTACCAACATATAGCCTAAACATGATTTATAGCACGAATCACAACTCAAGTGCTCTAACACATAGAGTACAACAAATTATTCAGATAAAATATTTACGCAGTTCCACGGAATCGATTAAATCATAATTTCTACGGTGCACGCCCACAGACCCGTCACCTAGCATGCACGTCACCTCAGCATAAATCACATAGCACAAAATTCGGGATTTCATACCCTTGAAACCAAGCTTAGAAGTGTTACTTATCTCAAACTATGGGAAACTCTACTCCAACAAGCCCTTGCCTCGCGAAACGGCCTTCAAATTCCTCGAATCTAGTCACAAACAGTTCGATAAAATCAACACGAACTAAAGGAATCAATTTCATATGAAATTACTAAGTTCTTAATTAAAAAGTCAAAAAGTTCATTCAAAAGTCGGCCCTCGGGCCCACGTCTCGGAATCCAATAAAAGTCACAAAATTCGGAAGCCCATTCAACCACGAGTCCAACCATACCAAATTTACCTAAATCCAATACCAAATCGACACCCAAATCCCCAATTTAAACTCTCCAAATCCTTAGCCTCAACTCCCAAAATTACACCTCAAAACAACACAATCTAGGTGGAAAAATCAACAGGGAAACATAATTTAACCACAAGTGACTTACCTTAAGAAACCCCTCGAAAATCCTCTCAAAAATCAGCTAAGTCCAAGTTTGCAAAGTCCAAAATGAGGGAAATCACGAACCCTTTGAATTTAAGGTTCTGTCCAGGGGTCTTCGCTTCTGCGGACAACTTACCCGCAACTGCGGTTCCACAGGTGCGAAAATATTTTGCTTCTGCATTGCCCACTCGACCCCCAAGCTTGCGCACCTGCGGCCAAAATCCTCGCATCTACGGGTGCGCTCCTGCGAGACCTCGTCCGCTTCTGCGACTCCAACACTGCCATACCGCTCTCTGCTTCTGCGAAGGACCAAACGCAGATGCGTCTTCGCTTCTGCAGACACCTTTCCACTCCTGTGATGACTGCCCAAATCCTCACCAGGTCGCACCTGCAACCAAAGCTCTGCAGGTGCGATTGCACCAGAAGACTCCCAGCTTCAGCAATCTTTCAAACTCCAAATTTGATTTGTTACCCATCCGAACTCCACCCGAGGCCCCCGGCACCTCCACCAAACATACCAACAAGTCCTAAAATACGATACGAACTTAGTCGATCCCTCAAATCACATCAAAAAACCTCAAAAAGATGAATCGCACCCAATTCAAGCCTAATGAAAACTAACTTTGCAGAAGTGCAAATTTAGATATACAAACTCACACGCTAAGATATATACTACTAACCCCATTCATATAGCTCCCTGCGGAATTCGACCCCGACACTTGTTGGGTATTACTATTGCATCGACCGTTTTCATAACCTCAAAGAGATGAGTGAAATTAGATGAGACCACTAGGCTATTGGGTACTAACTTGATTCAGGATGCTTTGGACAAGGTTAAATTGATTCAGGATCGGCTTCGCACAGCGTAGGCTAGACAGAAGAGTTACGCCGATCAGAAGGTTCGTGATGTTGGTTACATGGTTGGGGAAAAGGTTCTTCTCAAGGTTTCAACCATGAAGGGTGTTATGAGGTTCTGGAAGAAGGAAAAGTTGAGCCCTCGGTATATTGGGCCGTTTGAGGTACTTCAGAGGATTGGAGAGGTGACTTACAAGCTCGCCTTGCAACCTAGTTTGTCGAGTGTGCATCCAGTATTTCATGTTTCTATGCTCCGGAAGTATGTCGGTGGTCCATCTCATATTTTGGATTTCAGCACGGTTCAATTGGATAGTGATTTGACTTATGATGTGGAGCCGGTGGCTATCTTGGATCGGCAGGTTCGAAAGTTGAGGTCAAAGGACATAGCTTCAGTGAAGGTGCAGTGG